CATTATGGGCTCCGACCATATTGTTTTGTTAGGTTATATAGATATACTTCCTAATTATCGAAAAAGGAAATATTATGAGTATAGTGTTACTAGCTATTAAAACGCTGACGTAAAAATATTAGTTCAGTGCATGCACTAGAAGATTTCATTTAATGATTAATTGGTATGATTTTGACTTAGATTAGTAAATGTTTAATTTTGATTTGAAAAACGGTGATGATTTTTGAAAGCTTATCATCTCTTTTCTTCTTTCTTTCTAAAAATCAACAGAACACACCATCACCGAAAAACATAATTTTGAGTTTTTTTTTCCATTTGTAGCTATAATTAAGATCATTAGTACATATATCATCAAAACATTATTGTGTAATTTATAACTTACTATTCGATAAAATTGGATTTATACTTTTATGGATTCTTTGTTTCTTGACATGTACGTATTATGGCTTAAAAACATATAGTGAGAGATTCCTCCTTAATCCATTTGGACCAAAAAGTATTGATACAATAGTTTTTACGCCAACTTTTGTGTGCATGTGTGTAGCCAGATACTTGGGGATAAAGTCACCGATTCCATACACTTGGAAGAATTACGCGGGAAAAGAACGGTTATCATACGGAATGAACTTTGCGTACGGAGGAACAGGAGTGTTCAAGACTTTAGATAATCCATTGCCAAACATGACAACTCAAATTGATTATTTCCAAAAAGTCCTCGCCGCCGGCAACATTTACTCTCCTTCCGACCTCCCCACTTCCCTTGCTATGGTCAGCGTCGCCGGCAACGACTACGACACTTTCGTGAACCAAAAACGCCCAACGACCGTAAGAAAAAAAAAACATCACATTTTTATGCCACTTAGGATCCTATTATTTCAAATGAATAAATCTGCTTTTGTATTTACTAGTCAAAGATAAAACTATATGTCTATATTGATAGTAGAAAAAAATAAATAATAATTTTCCATGTAAACATAAACGCAAATTGTATATGTTTCAGGAGTTTCCTGGATTCATCAAGCAAGTTGTTGATCAAACAGAGATAAACCTAAGACGCATCCACAAGTTGGGAGTGAAGAAGATCGCCATGGCTTCACTGCAACCACTCAGATGCCTCCCTATAGGCACCGCCATTACTAGATTCCAACGTAAATGCAATGCATTAGTAAGCCTTCACAACACTTTGTTGCATCAAGCCGGGGCTAAGCTCAACAATGAGACCAAACCATCAACTTTTGTCATTCTTGATCTCTACAACGCCTTTTTGACCGTCCTCAAGAACAAAGGAGCAATACCGGGTAAACCAAAAAGAAAAGTTGAAATTCGGATCCTAAAATGTTTTTCTTTCTTTCTGATGTGTGATATCCATCTTACGAGGTTTGCGAAATCGCTCAGGGATTACGAGGTTTGTTCACCCGTTGAAACCGTGTTGTATCGGGGTCAGCAAAAATTACGTGTGCTCAGACGTGGACGAGAAGGGTGAGAAGAAGTATACAATTTGTGAAAATCCAAAAACTGCCTTCTTTTGGGACACTTTTCATCCGACCGAAGAAGGGTGGAGATCTGTTTACTTGGTTTTACACAAAAACCTCAAAGTCGTTTTAATTTAAGAGTAAGACTTAATTGTTCTTCTAATTGTTGTTAATTTCTATCTCTTCACTCATTAGTGTTGGTAACATTTTTCCTTGCTTGTGTTTGTGTTATAGACAGTTTCAAATCAAGCCACTTGTTCAAGTCTCAAAACAAGAAGCTGGTATATATTATAAGGACCGCCAAACTCATGGATAAAAGCACTTAATGGTTATAAGATATGAAGTATTCTGTTATCTGAGTCAATCTTGTTAAATCACAAGCATGTACTTTGAACTGATAACTTGATAATTTAGATGCCGAATCAATTAAAAATGATACTATTAGTGTATTTAGACTCGATGTAGATTCCGGTTTAGCAAGTCCATTTAGTGCCAAGACTGGACCAATAAAGATATTGATTTGTATAACAAGTATGAAGTATCCAAAAAAATATTGCTAATTATGATTGCTCTCTAAAAATCCATATACAACAATTATAATAGGTTTTTGTTAACAAGGTTTGAGAGCATGTTTCTTTTTACCGCAGTATTTTTTCAATATACATTACAAAGAAAATATTACCATAGTTGACAAAAGTTTTAAAGCAATTAATGTAAGAATTTAAAAATCCAAATGGTTAAGCAAATGAAAGGCTTTATTTTATTTTTTTCCAAACATATAGCTCAATATAAAATCAAAAGACAAAGGAGATTATTGCATCAATTCATGTGACTAAACCAAATCAAAACCAACATGCCTCAGACAGTACTGGTGTTATATAACTTGGTGGCGAAAGAAAGACCTTCCTTAGATAACACGTCAAGACTCTCAACTGAAGGTTGTGCTCGAGCCACTTTAGCAATGGCCTTGTTTTCCTCCGGAGTTCCTCCTTCTAGAAACACTCCAACTACTTTCCCATCTTTAACCCAATAAGTACCAAACTTAGGCTTTGGAGATTTCGGGTCATTGTCTCCAAACAATACAGATTCTCCAACGTTGTCTCCATAAAACTCCCACGAGAGCTTAAAAAATCGAGAGTAGAAATAGGGAAGATAATTGTATTCCGGGACTGTTTTCCCTTCCTCAGCTGCCTTAATTGCCTACAAAGACCATAGAGATACACATCATTAAGATCTTTAGCTCAAGAGAACTCGATCGGTTTATTCGATTATAGAAGCCAAGTATGTCTCGTACTTTAACCGCTTGTACAGCAGATTTGCGAGCATTATCGGCGTGTTCAACACGCCTCATCTCGCCGTACATTTTCATAGGAAATGTAGCTACATCTCCAAGTGCATATACATCAGGGTTGCTTGTTTTTAAGAACCCATCAGTCTACAATAAAAATTTTTTTATCAATGATGACAAATGGTAATGACAAGATCTTTATATTTCTTTCCGAATTAGCGTAAATCACGAACCTTTATTCCACCCTTCTCTTCTTCAAGTTGGCCTTTGAAGAGTGATGTCACCGGTTTACCACCGATACCAACCACGACTATGTCAGCTTCTAGGGTTGTTCCGTTGTCTAGTTTCACTTCCGTGACATCTCCGTTTGCGTTAGTGTTAAATCCTGTGGCTACAGTTCCTTTGATGATTTTGATTCCCTTGTTGGCATAGTAACCCTCATAGAATGAAGCAATCTCAGGGGTGAAAAACCGATGCACTACAAAAAAAACAGAGACAGAGGAAAAAAACAAATGTTATTAATTATTCGACTCTGTTTCTTTGTGTTTATATTTTTTTTTTTCCAAATGATTGTAAACGTAAAATCTCAAACGCGAACGAGATAGTTAATGTTTAGACTTTAAAAAAATATTGTGCTATAAAGTGTTTTCTTATTAAGCATCAGATCAACTTACATAACCAAGGTTCAGGAAAAATCATGGTCACTTCATGATTATTAGCCCTTAGAGAAGCACTGAGCTCAATCCCTAAGAAACCGCCTCCAATAACCACGGCTTTTCCATTTTGAACATAAAATTCCATAGCCCCCGCAATCTCATCAAGATCCTCGATTTCTCTTAGGTAGTATATGTTCTTAGCATCTCCTTCTTGGATGCCAATTTCTGACAATCTTATGAACTGCAACAAAAATATTAATTAGGGCTTCTAGAGATGAGTCTTACTTATAACGAAGAGATATAAGTATTGGTGCTCACAGTAGAACCAGTTGCAATTAGCAAAGTTTGGTACTTGAAGATTGTTCCATCATCACTTATAAGTGTCTTCGAAGCAAGATCTACTTTGACTATCTCTGTGCTGACATGGAGATCAATCCCTGTATAAAAATATCTCAACCATAAGCATTGCAAGTAAATCATTTAAATATAGTGCTATATCAATTTCTTGAAAGCGGACATAAACATAAACATTACCTCTGTCTTTATACCATTTAGAGTACTGCTTCTCTCCTCCAATTGCAGCAGGGACATATATTGAAGCAAGTGTCGGATTGGCTGTAAATGACGATCTAAAGTTAACTAAAATCCGGTAGCAATTGAAAAAGGGTCAATTGACAAAGATGTAATAGAGTTAAAAGGTTTACTTTCGGGGTCGATATATGCCTTGGTTAGTTCAGGACGCTCGAAAGGAGGCACCTATTAACACAGACACACACACAATGAAACCTTTATTTCAAACATCAATTTTCAGACTAAGCATCATAAATTTAAGAAGCCATTGTTTCAAACCCCAAAATTTATGTTTCATATTTTGTTAAGTTACATCTCTTTTCAACTCAAAATCGATTGGCAATGAATAAAATGTCAATATCTTTTATGTACTACTACTTGGTACTTAGGCCTATATTAATTTCTGATGTGGACTTCTAACAGATTTTTTATAAAGTAAAACCTTTTGTAGTTTTTCAAAAAAAAGAAAAGTTTTGTAGGGTTTATACGTGAATGTTAAGTGCAAGCAAAGGTTATCTTACATGTGTTTACGGTTAACGTTTGCGTTTACAAAGTAACAAAATCAAATTGTGTTATCATGTTAAAGTTTGTGGTTTTATTTGGACCAAATTCTAAGAGTGAAAAACATACTGATTCCTTGGAAATGATTGCGAGTTCACCAGGCTTCAGGCCCTGATTGTTAAACTCCATTGCCGCATAACCCTGATTTCGAATGCCAAAAAAAGAAAAACTGGTTTCATCATTAATACAC